GACCCGAAACGTTAACTCTGTTTTCTCCTTCACAGATGCTGCCAGACCTGCTGAGCTTTTCCAGCAACTTTGTTTTTGTTGTGGCAACAGATTATGTTAGATAAGGGGTTAAAATAATACATAGAGAATGAAGAACAATCCACCTGGGACTTTGATCAGGTTACCTCTTGATATTACTAACTGTAACAAGATGATAGTATCTGAAGCAATAAGAAAGTGACAAGGTTTATTTCTGCAGTTATTTACAATCCCCGAGAATGAAGGTTGAGTATGCATTTGGGAAAGGGTCAAATAAATGAGAAAAGTGATATTATCAGACATAACCTGTAAACAGGATAACATGGAATGGCAATATGGATGTGACTTTCAAACTTATAAGCAAGCACATTTGATTGTAAGGTCTATGGGGAGAAGTTACAGTTGTCCCACTTCAACAAAAATATATAAAAATATATGGATTTCAAGAAAGCATCACTGTTATACTTATGTAGACAATTTTATTGGAAGTGGTTTTGTTGGTCATATTTTCAGAAGGAAAAGTGAATAGAAAATGGCTATGATACTGATTTTAAAAGTCAGCACCGTAAATATTTAAATAACAAAAGAAAAGAAAACAAAGAGAAATTAGTAATGTGGAGAAAATAAGACAAACAAAATTTATATTTTTGCACTCACAGTTCGATGATGAATCCACTGATTGTGACAATATTCTAGAGTGCCTCCTAAGTCTCTTGTCAGCTGACTTTTTTCAATGTAGCTGTGTAGATCTGCTATTGTATTTAACATGATAATCTGGAACAAATTCAATGAGAAGTGGCTTTTGAGCCATCAAATCACTCTTCACTTTCCACAAAGCAGTATAATAAAACATAACCAGATTAAATATCTGGAAGACAAAGACACCATTAACATCTGATTCAAATAATTTATGGCTGTATATTGCATTGAAGATAATAATGTTGCTACAGAACACTTCAGAAAAATACAAAAACGAACCACTTAAACATCAGCCTAGACAATGAAGGACACAATCTACAATGGATCTTTTACGGAACTATCCATTTATATGGCAGATAAATCCAATACTTGTCTTTGGATAATAATGGTATGTAGGGATATGGGGAAAAGGCAAGAGATTGGCATTAGATAAAACAGTTGGTGCAGGCACAATGGGCAGAATGGCCTCTTATGCACTGTAATAATTCTGTAATTCTATAAAAGTTATGCAGTTCCTACACAATATATTAAATTCTATGAAAACATAAACTTGAGTGTTTGTCAGAATACAAGATAAAACCATATGCTTACCGGTACCTTCATTTTAAAATCATCTCGTTGTAGCCTGATGCCAATGTCGGCAATTGTCCTTTGGATGAAACGAGAAGGTCGCAGGACAAAAATTAGCTGCAAGTTCCCTGGAAATGATCCCTGAAGAAAGATGAAAAGTTCTGAGACGATTGTCTTTGGAATCTTACATGTACTGACGCTCAGCGTAAAACGCCTGAACAACATTAGCAATCTTGGCCTTTGTGGCTGCATTATCCTTCAACGTTGGTTCTAAGGTTAATAATGGCCACAGTCTCTGCATACTGCAACTAGGAATTCTCCCTACAATACAAAGATTAATCAGGCAAGTTGATAGGAGAGGGGTCCAAACCTGTCTCTTTGCATCCATACTTATCCAGTTTAGTAGAAATGGACGGAATGAAGGGAGATGAGGGGGAGAAATAAGGAGGGGAAAATATAGTTCCTAAAAGGAGGAGGAAAATAGATGTAAGTAGGGCAGAACTGAGGGTTAGAAACTTGGAGCACAGCTTTTGGTGAACAGAAGAATCTAAAGTGTCAACATTAGTTGATTGGAGTGAGAAGGGGTCGGAGCTGGAAAACAGTACCAGCATACATAGGCAATAGTTGATGTTAATAAAACAATGCTTTTCAAAAATTTGACAAATTTTTGAAAAGCAATCAGTTAGCTTTTGCTTAATTTCTAAGTTGGCATGTGTGCAATATTATCAGTTGCAATGTGAGTTTATGAGATAAGAATGATAATGTGAACATTATTCTAAGAAATTCAGACATCCAGCAACAACATCTCAGGGAACCTTCCAGCTGCATGTCTCCTGCAACCATGAATGCTGGGAACCAACTCATCACAGCCTCTCAGGTGCCTCATGCACATTTGCAATGCACTTACAGGATGCTTCTGCACTTTAAAGCTGCACTTCAGGGCACATCAACAATTAGGATTGAAATGCTACTTCAAGGATATTTTACATTCAGGGACAAGAATCTAGCTGATGGATTGGGCCAGGCTTGTCTCAGCGCTCACTCGATTTGAACCTATTTAGATACTTACAGTATCCCCTACATTGCCTTTTTGTGCTTTGCCTCCCGTCTGGAGGTATCAGGCTCAAATTACTTCTGACATGCCTTAATATTTAGAGCAGACACAAAGCCAGGAAGCTTGCCATGATTGTCAGCAGTCCTTAGCCAAGTCAAGGGAGACAGCCTTCAACCAGTGGGTCTCAATACAGGAAGTCAAGGGTTAGCCTCTGAAATCAGTCCAGAGGCTTGGGTTTGGTCAGTTGGCCACAAGGGGCGATCAGAGTCAGGATCCTCCCCTTATAGGGGTGAGGAGACAGGTGCTGGTCAGTCCACCACCTGTTTTGCCTCTTTCTGCACCAATGGACAACTGTTTTCTCCTGGAACAAGAGAAAGGTAGGGACTGAGAGAGATGAAAGTGACTGGCTTAACTGTTAGAACTGATAGCGTTGGGTGAAAAGTAGTGAGTTTTCCTGAGTGAGTGAGTAGGCAGCACACAGAGGACATGCAGGGTTGTAATATCAGAGGTGGGTGACAGTAAGTAAGTAAGGGAAGATGTTGTATGCAACAGTGTGAGTGGTAGAAGATGAGCCAATGTGGGAGATGTGTGCAGCTGCAGAGAAAGTGAATGTGAGATAGCGGAGAGAAGATGGTGGCTCTTACCCTGATGGAATGGAGAAGGTTAATGACCTCCTTCCTACACCGTTGAGTATTCCTCAAGTCGGCTGAGGCCACATCATCCTGGGTGGCAACCTTGGCCCAGACTGACAGGGTCTGGGGTCGTGGCCTCCACTGCTGGTTGTGGGAAAGAAAACATCTATCCTCTAAGTCACCCCATCTACCAGGATCTCCAGGTCCCTGAGCACAAAACGATGTGCCAATTTCCCCTTCTCTGTCATGCCCAGGGCAAATGTCAATCAGCACACTGGGCATGTCCGTACTAATAGTGCTTGTCTGGATACACAATGTCCTTTTAAAGGTGGCACCAGCACCAGGGATAACAGCCTATTCCAAGATATCCTGGCAGTAGCAAATTCTTCCGGGTATGCTGAGTGGTAGAATCAGATGAGGGGGTACTGTAGAGGTCTGGTAAGTTTAGAACAATATGTCAAGAAACCCTGCTGAGCCTTGTGAGGAGAAACCCTTCACATAACTCAACAAAACTGATACAGCCAAAATATGACGAAATTCAATCCTATTAATCTAATAATGTGCATTGTACTCGTATTTTCGGACACAGGAACATGACCTTTCTTTTGGTGTATAACTCAATTCTTTGTTCTCAAACATGATTTTCATTCAAACTTGACATAATCTAGCATTATCATAATATTATATAATGATAATACTAGTACTAGTACTAATACCAATACTACTAATTATCATAATATTATATAATGATAATACTAGTACTAGTACTAATACTAATACTACTAATTATCATAATATTATATAATGATAATAATTTCTTGTAATGATCATTTTTAGGTACACTGCTATTTTGGGAGGATTCACAGAACGATTTGTAGATCAGTTCAACATTAGTTGAATGTATTTGCATCTGATCTGCCAACAAGAATCTGAATGGTGTTAGTAACTGAAGTGTTTTGGTCGCTCAGTGGTTTTCCAGATATTTTGCTTGTGTCTCATCAATTGTGGAAACAGTTAAGAAAATCAAGAAAAAAAAATAGATAAATAAACTACACAGAAGAGAAAGAAGCAGGAAGAAAACAATAAAGGAAAAATGCTAACAAATAAAAACTAAATAAGCAAGACGATAAAGTCAAAGAAGAGAAAAATAGAACAACCAAAGAAGACAGATCCCACAGGGAAATGGGAAAATAAATTGAACATGGACAACAGAAAGGTACACAAAAACTGGCTTTTTTATTCACCTATCAGGTAATACTAATTCTAATTAATGCCAAGTGTTAAGTTATGAAAAATAATGTACATGTCTGCTAACATTATATTTTTGGATTTTAGGAAAATACTTTGAGTAAGACTTTTCAAGTTCCTTAAATGGGTTATCTTCCCTCAGCTCTCCCAATACGCTCTATTTTAAACATTCAATCATGTTTTTAACCCATTGTAAAAGAACAAAATGGCTTTGACTAAAACCATGAACAATACTCTCTGCCTGACAATAACAACAGCAGCAACTTGCATTTACATCTCCTTCATCTCAAGACAGCCTACTTTTTATTTCTGTAACATGCACTGTCCTGCCTCAGTCCATCTGCCACTCATACCTACATGCATGCCTATGCCACAACAAGACTTTACTATACTCTATTGGCTGGTCTCACTATGTCTTATTTCCATAAACATCCCATCCCACAACAAATCCATTTCACTCATCATCATTATTATTAATAATGCTTTTCCATTCCCAACACCTTAAATTTAAAGTTATTATTCTTATGTTTAAGATTTTTCACTTCCTTGTACCTCTTCATATTTGTAGCTTCCTCCAGCATCCCCAATTTCCAAACTTTTTATTCCTTGGACAAGCTTCTTATCTGCTCTTTGAAAGTTTGTTCAAAAATTGGCAGGTGTATCTTGATCTATCTATACCTCATCATCTAAAATTCTTTAACCAAAACCAGTTCTGCATTTTCCTCTGGTCCTTGAAACTCCTTCTTAACCTTGTCTTAAGCAAGCTTTTGCTAATATCTCCATCTTTGATTTAACATTCACTTTTCCATTTTCCTCCATGAAGTATCTTATAATGTTAATTTATTTTAAAGGTGTTATTGAAATGCAAGTTATCGTTATAGTAATACAACTTTCATGTTCTTAAAATCTCTGTCCATTAAACTATTCTTAGACAAAGATTTTATTGTGTATTGAGAATCCCGAGGCTGGCATGTAATGTGGGTCCCAAAGCTGCATATAAAAGGGGCAAGACAATGGCAGCAATGAGACGGACAGGAATGCACTCCCATTAAGACTCTTCAATTTCTGAAGAAGGGTCCCGATCTGAAACGTCAACTTTCCTGCTCCTCTGATGCTGCCTGGTCTGCTGTGCTCCTCCAGCTCCACACTGTGTTATCCCATTAAGGATGGAAGCCTACCTCAATGAGCTAAAGGCCTAATCAAAAGGCCTGGCAGTTCTACAGACTGACCAAACCACTGATAGAGGTAGTTATTGCTGAGACTGCACCAGGTAGGAGAGGGTGCCTCCGCAAGTGCCATCACGTGGCCAGTATAAAAAGCCATAAATTTCCAGCATCAGCCAGGCAGGCCCAGATGGTCGGAGGAGTGAACACCCCAGTGGTAGTGGCGGTGGCAGGGTCACAGTGACCAGCATTACTATGGTGGGGCCCCTCCATCAGTATTAAAGCTTCATGAAAGGGAGTCCCTACAAGCCTGAGAAGGCACTGCGTAGCTGCTAGGGTCAACACTCAGTGAGGAGCTGTTTCATGCTCATAAAACACTGGCAGCCTTCTAAAATGACTGCCAATAAATTATATGTCAATTAATTGTATCAATTGACAGTCAGCTTCTTGTTGGCCAGTAGTTGAACTGTCGCTTCTCGCAATGCTGGAGATATCCTTAGCAACAGGAACATGTTGGCTTTCCTTCCTGATGCCATTTCCCCATCCTTTGCACCTCCTAGCCTGTCTCCAACAGACCGTTAAAATTACTGCCTTAATTTCAGAGTTTATTATAAAACAGTGCTAACCTTTTGGTTATTAAGAACGAGACAATCAATAGAAATAAGAATGGTCACAACCGGGACATAAAATACTATGGAAGCTTCTTAGTATTAGGTCTGTCATTAAATCATGACAGGCTGAAATCCATTTATGATTGGTCATCAGCACAACTAAGAATTTTCCAAAGAACTGTATATATTAAAATACTACACATTTTTAAAATTCATTTACAGAAATTAATGTCTGAAACAAATGTCACTGCTAGTGTATTGATTGGAAATTTAAATACAACACTATTTGCCGTTATATATTAGCTTCAGGTATTTACCACAGTGTGCAAATAACATCCTCATTACTGTCACTATAATAAACAAGAGTTAGACTATTATTCATATACAAAGAGAAAGGGAATGGGGAAATAATAATGGGGATCAGGGAAAGGCAGAGAAGTTGAATAAACGCTTTGCACCAGTTTTCAAAGCAGAAGATATTAAAAGCATTTCAAAAATACTAAATGATCAAGAGGCAAAAGGAGGAAAGGAAACAAATGCATTAACCGTCAGCAGAAAAAAAGTACTAGTGAAACAAATGGAGCAAAAGAATATTATGTTTCCTGGGTCTAATGGGATGCATCTGGAAATATCCAAGGAAGCAGTTACAGAGACAGTGGACACACTGGCTATAGATATTTTCTAATCAGCCTGCTCAGGAGTGTTATGACACACTTTGGAATCAGGTGGTACTTGAACCCAGGCCTCCCAGTCCAGATGTATGGACACAATCACTGCACGACAGCCCACCTTCCAAGAATTCTTAGATTCTGGAAAAGTCCCAGAGGATTAGAAACTTGCCAATTCAATACCTTCATTTGAAAAGGGAAGGAGCCAAAAAATATATAACTATAGGTTAGTTAGTTTGACATCCATAAATGAGAGAATGTTAGAATCTATCACAAAGAATGTAATAGTAGAGCATTTAGAAATATGATCAAGCAGAGTCAGCATGACTTTACAAAGGGGAAATCATGTCTGAAAAAATTTATTAGAATTCTTTGAGAAGATAAAAAGCAGGATTAATAAAGTGGAAGCATTGGGTGTAATATAATAGGATTTCCAGAGATATTCAATAAAATACCACACATTAGGCACTTAATAAGAAACGAGCCCATGGTGTTTCAGATAATATACGAACATGGATAGAAGACTGATTAATTAATAGAAGACAGGAGTTGTATAAAGGGACATTTTCAGGATGGAAATCTGCAACTCATGGAGTGCCACGGAAATCAGTGCTACAGGAATCAGTGCTGGGGGCACAATTACTTACAATATTGATTAATAACTTGGATGAGAAAAGTCAATGTTCATTAGCCAAGTCTGCAGATGACACAAAAATACACGGGAGGTCAAATGAAACAAAGAGTCTGCAGACAGGTACAGACAGTTTAAATTAGTGGTCAAAAACTGGCAGATGGAATAAAATGTGAGAAAATGTTAGGTTATGCATGTTGGCAGGCAGATTAAAGAAACAGAACATTATTTAAATGAAGAAAGTGTGTAAAAATCTGCAGCACAGAGATTTGAGTGTTCTCGTACATACATCACTAAAAGCTAGCATACAAGCTCAGGATGTAATACAGAAAGCAAATGGAACATTGTCCTTTATACTAAAGGGAATGGAGTATAAAACTAAAAAAGACTTGCTTAAACTACATTAGTCTAGTTAGACCACAGCTGGAATACTGTGAGCAGTTCTAGAAATATAGAAACATGGAAAGTAGGAGCAGGAGTAGGTCATTTGGCCCTTTAAGCCCTGCTCCATTATTCAATATGATCGTGGCTCATTGTATAACTCAGTATCCTGATCCAGTTTTTTCCCCATACTCTTTGATCCTTTTAGCCCTAAGATTTGAGCCATTTATCTAAGGAAAGATATACAGGGATTGGAGGCAGTCCAGAGAAGGTTCATGGAGTGATTTTGGGTATGGTGAGACTATCTTATGAGGAGGGTTTGAGCAGGTTGGGCCTGTACTACTGAAGCTTAGAAGAATGAACTGTAACCTTATTAGAACATACAAGGTTATTTTCGGGATTGACAGAGTAAATGAAGAAAGGTTGTTTCCCGTTACAGGGCAGTCCAGACACAATCTTATTTTTTTATTCATTCACAAGATGAGGGCATCACTGGCTAGGCAGCATTTATTGCCCATCCCTAATTGCCCAGGGGGCAGTTGAGAGTCAACCACATTGCTATGGGTCTGGAGTCACATCTAGGCCAGAACAGGTAAGGATGCAAGTTTCCTTCCCTAAAGGACATTAGTGAACTAGATGGTTTTTTTCTGATAACCAACAATGGATTCATGGTCATCATTAGATTCTTAATTCCAGATTTTTATTGAATTCAAGTTCCACCATCTGCCATGGCGGGATTTGAACCCATATTTCCAGAATGTTATCTGCATCTCTGGATTAACAGTCCAGCAATAATATCACTATTGCCCTGAGGTGATGGCCTAGTATAAGGGGTTGACCATTTTAAGAGAGAGATGAGGAGGAATTTCATCTCTGAAGGTACTGAATCTGAGGAATTCTTTACCGCAGTGGGCTGTCGAGGTTCATTGTTAAATATGTTCAAGGCTGAGGTAGAAAGATTATCAATCAGTAAGGGGATCACGGGACATGGGGCAACGGCAGAAAAGTGAAGTTTGTAATTATCATGTTGCCAAAAACTCATTGAACGGCAGAGCAGACTCTACAGACTGAATGGCCTAGTTTTACTAACACACCTTATGGTCTTAATTAATTATTGCTTCACATTACATTTTACCCAGTATATGAATTTGTGTATCATTCAAATAATCACAAGTAATTTAGTACCGAAAATAGAAGAAGTAAAGTTTAATGAACTACACTGCAAATTTAAAATGGAGCTTTATTAAAGCTTTCAAGTATTACCACTCCATACCTTTGTAGTGTTATTCTCTAAGGTCAAAATTAATTCCGTTGATACCTTGGATAATTAACCTTTTATAACATATCTCCAAGGTTGACATACCCTGCACTTTAATTATTTGATAGAAATCATAAGTTATTGACAGTTACACTATAGTGCTAAGTCCAAATGTTTACGTGACGTCTTACTATTTTCACTTTACTTTATTGTATAAGCTACTTGATTGCTGGATTATGCTAATTGTATACTTTTTAAGAAGCTGCGGGAGTGCCCTTACCTCAGGTCCAGAAGACCCAGGTTCAAGTCCCATCTGTTCCAGAGGTATGTAATAATGTTTCTGAACAGATTGATTAAAAATTACAAAAATAAAGCTGTACCATTAAATCTCTACCCCACCAAAATTTTGGGAGGTCAATGAATAACCCTTAATAACATCACAGGTTATACGATGGCATCGGAAAGTGTTGCTGAGCCAGATGAACAGCCATGTTCTCAACAAATGGCACAACAGTCTTGATGGACGAATGATTTTCTCTTGCTCTGATATTCCTATGAAATATCCCAGCCTTAAATATTAACGAAAAATATAACATTTTCAATTTTAGCTACAGTTAATTGCTTCACAGAAGATGTCTTATTTATGGGAAATGCCATGAAAAGGAACCACACATCTCAGAATAAATCGAATTTCAGCAATCAGAAAACTTTAATTCTACTCACTGCTATGCGCATTAAAGATGCTTTGACTGAACTCCATTTGTCCCGCCTTCTGTCAATAATTATGATAAATCCAATACTGGCAGCATCCAGACTGTAATAAAGCAGAAGCAAACCTTTTGAAAATTATCTTTTATATTGCACTAAAAGAAATACCATTTTACAGACTATCCAAAGATTACCTAATGGATTCTACAGATAATAATATGGTTCCTATAGTATGATGTAAAACATACTCTGTGATCTTAAAGATTATGAATTCGTTGTTCTAAGTAACGTAATTGATTAAATGGAAATTTAATATAGCCATTAAATAGCTTGAAAATGGGGAGTGGAGTGTATATAATTGAAGCAACTTTTTTTTTGTGCAAGACTTTTATCTTTGCTTTTATTTATATTTGTTTTAAAAATAGTTGTTTATTAGAATCATTAGATTTCTAGTCAAATTCAAAACCTCTACTCAACTGCCACCATTTCCTGATGAAAAATGTGATTAAAATAGATAACTAAATAGGGAGAACTTCAAAGAACAATTAAATTGCTACTGTAAAAGGTCAACTGAAATGTGATTTTTGTTGTCAGTTATGAATGTCGTCATACAGGTTACACTTCCTTTCCATTAGCGACTATATAAACCATACAGTTCTTATCATTAGTTAGTATTCCCTTTAGGTTTGGGATTTGTACTCTCCATTTCTATTTCCTAACATTTCTCTCTCATCTACCTTACAATAGGGATTATTCATCATTCAGATCTGAGGAGCTCCTTTTCTTTCCTTACAGATTCTGACAAGTCTCTTGTGTAGCAAATTTTCGTATTTTAAACAGCAACATGAGCAGAAATATCCAGATAGACAGGTCTGGATAGAAAGATCACTCTCAGTGCTGTTGAGTGGGAAAATATGAAGTTATAGCTATTAGTACTGAAAAGCTTACATAGACCACCACTAATCAATCTGCAATTGTCCATACAATTTCGGATGTTCAAACAAAGCTTTCAGAATGCAGACTAGAATAGAACTGACAGTCAGCTGTTTTTTATCAATGGAAATTGAGCAGACATTACACTGAGCTGCCTGCTTTTCATTTTAAACCTTCAAATCAAAAAGTTGCATCAGTACAACACGGGATCATCTCCTTAAAGCCGACCATGTTGACAACAGTTTTTGTTATATTACATATGCAGTGCAAAAAGATCACGCTGCACTAATGCCTGTTCTACAGCATCGCTTGCTATATTGACAAACAGTTATACAATTTGCATTCATCGGAAGGTTTTGCCTTCCATTGACTGTTTCTTTAATAGAAACATGAAAATTCCAAGTTTCTGTAAAAAAAAATTGTAATAGTTCTGTGATCATTCTCAGTTTTTCTAATGAATGTGTACAATACATATAATTTATATTATGGGAACAAGCAATTCAATTCAAACCCATTTGTGCTGGTATTTCCCCCATGTAAGCAAGTATATCAAATTACATTTGTTCATTGAAGCAATGCAACTTAGCTCCAGAGGAGGTCTAGTTGAAAGGCCACCTACACTCCATGGGTCTTGCTGATGTGTAATATAGTATTGAGGAAAATCAGCACTTAAATCTTTATCATGTTGTAGTCACTACTCCTAAGTTTGCCAACCCAATTTATTTCAACAGTCACAGTCAGATATAGCAACATCTTGCAGGTCCATTTCCTATTGGCAATAACCTAATGAATAGTCAATAAAAGAAACCCTGCTGTTTGAAACACTGATGATACTTCTTCTGCACAGGGATAAATTACTGTTTTGGTATTCAGTTAGAATGTATGAATGTAACACATAAGTGTGTCATACCTGTTCCGTCATAAAAATTCTATTGTTTAATTTAATGAGCTATGACAACTAAAACAAATCAAAAGATTTAGGACAGTTCAATTTCTGTTTTACAAAGGTATATTTATTGTTATCAATAACATCATTCCAAACTAGGCTGATAATTTTTTGTTATCATATTGCCACAATGACAGCATTTGAACTTTAGGACCTGATAACCTCTTCTATGCAACATCATAATCTTATGTAAAGTTTGGAAACTTAAGCACATAAAATAACTTCTGGATATTCACAATTTAGTTACATTTTAAAAATTAATGTTAATTATACATTAATAATTAATATGAAAAATTTGCAGTGCTGATCTTAATTACCATGATTTACATAACATTACAGACAGAACTTTAGTTAATTCTCTTACATCCAAAACACAAATATAAAATATAAGGAGATGGACAGGTTCAATCTGATAAAAGATTATATTATTTATTAATACATTACAAAGCTTGGATTTTCTCTCACAGTGAAACTGGTGGATGAGCACAGAAATCACAAATCGTGCACCTAAATTAGTCACTTCCCATTTTTGTGGCGTTGGGTTGGGATTAGCACAATAGTGATTCATGGAGGCAGCTGGTTAATTAAATTACCAGCTGCCCCCACTTGCATTGGATCTCAGTAAACGTGGAATCTGAAATCCAAGTGTGCAAAGTGAACCTGATAAGAGTAAGTCTCTACTTCCTGCATTTCTTTGGAAACCCATTGTACACCTTTGGAGAGGGAAAGCCACCTAACAGGGACCACTTGCATGCTAAACAGCATAAGCAATCCTACAACCAACAGATCAGATCTAAGCTCTGCAGTCCTACCACACCTAGTCGTGAATGGAGTCGGATGATTTAACAACCCACTGGGGGACAAGGCCTCAATGACAGATGAGCCCAGTATATCAGTGCAAAAGGTAAGGCTGAAGCATTCGCTACAACCTTCAGCCAGAAGTGCCAAGTGGATGATCCATTTCGGCCTCCTCCAGTGGTCCCCAGCATTACTGATATCAGTCTTCAGTCAATTCAATTCACTCCACATGATAGCGAGAAACTTTGAGAGTCACTGGAAACTGAAAAGGCTACGGGCCCTCTCAACATTGTGGCTATAGTTCTGAAGAATTGTTTTCCAGAACTTGCTGCTCCCCTAGCCAAGCTGTTCAACTGGAGTTACAACACTGGCATCTACCCAACAATGTGGAAAATTGCTGCATTCAACTGAGTGTGGCATCAAGAAGCATCAGGGCAAACTCTCCAGTGGTTGCAGTCATGCCTGACACATAGAAAGATGGTTGTGGTTGTTGGAGGTCAGTCTTCTCATTTGCAGGAGTTCCTCAGGGTAGGGTCCTCGGCCCAACCATCTTTAGCTGCTTCATCAATGACCTTCCCACCACCATAAAGGTCAGAAGTGGGGAAGTTCGCCGACGAATGCACAATGTTCAGCACCATTCGTAGATACCAAAGCAGTCCATGTCCAAATGCAACAAGATCTGGACAATATCCAGGCTTGGGCTGACGAGTGGCAATTAACATTCGTGACACATAAATGTCAGACTATGACCATCACCAGTAAGAGACAATCTACCCACCACCCCTTGACATTCAATGGCATCACCATCACTGAATCCCCCACTATCAACATGCTGGGGGGTGATCATTGATCAGAAACTCAACTGGACTCACCACATAAACACAGTGGCTACAAAAGCAAGTCAGAGGCTGGGAATACTGCTGTCAGTAGCACACCTTCTGACACCCCAAAGCCTGTCCACCATCTACAAGGCACGAATCAGGAGTGTGATGGAATACTCCCTGCTTGCCCGGATGAGTGCAGCCCCAACAACATTCAAGAAGCTCGACACCATCCAGGACAAAGCAGCCCGCTTGATTGGCACTACATCCATAAGCATCCACTATGTCCACCACCGATGTTCAGTAGCAGCAGTGTGTACTATCTACAAGAAATATTTGTTGGCATAAGCTATTATGTATTTGAAGGAACATAAACATAGTAAACTGAAAATTATGCACAAGAATGTTTTTCAAGATAATGAAGAAGTTTATTTTGTCTTACCTCATCGTGGGTCCTGAGGTCTGCACATACCAGGTGAGTTGGCATAGTTGGAAAGGGTAGTGTTTGGGGTGCATTGGTTGGCTAGAGTTGCCAATAAGCTGCCACAAGGTCTATAAAGACCATGGGAGTGGGTACAGGGTATAGGTTGGCATGGAGGATTTGCATGGCCATAGAGGTGTACACAGGGCATGAGGAAGTATAGGTTGACATGCATTGGGCATGAGAAGAGTGCTAGAGGTAAGGGGGTATGAGGGGTTAAGACTGGAAGGCTGTTTTATACTCATTTTTTCCCTGAAACTTCAAGCTAGCCTTCCTTCCACGCATGGCATCCTCAACTCTTCGACCAGGTTTGCCCGCTCTGACTTCTAATGTAATCTGCCTTCAGATCCAAAATTCAATGTTTGGGCAGCCATTTTGAACTTGCAGATGGATATCCAGGCCCAACAGACCTGTGTGTAACTCTTATCTCCAAAACTACTGACTTATGTTCTTATGTTTGTCAACAGCTGTTTCCACTGAAACTACCTATGTCCAGATTAATAATGATACTGGGGACGCTAATTGTATTTATAAAGAAAAAATTCTTTTTAAATTTCTCACATTGTGAAGACATCCTCATGACAGCTGTTGCTTTGTGGCACCTCAGATTTATGCCTCCCAGCACCTTATTTTATTTTTGTAAAGAAGTTCCTGTAGTCCAATAATGAGTCTTTCACTGCTCCAAAATTATTGCAAGTTTTGGTATTTAAATCATAATAAAAGAAAATGAGCAGAACAGGTAGAAGTCAGAAATATAAATTAAACATGTTTCATTGTGTTGAATGTTTTGGCTGTGGAATTGCTTTGAAAATACAGATGAAAATAACAAGTACTCATATTTCTCTTGAAACTGTTTTACAAAAAGGTAAATCACTGCATATTTTCTCAATCTTCCTTTGGTATGAATTTATAAAGTGTAAGACCTGATCCTATACAACGAAGTACAATAACCTGAAATTAAATGTGCTATAGTCTAATGAAGAATCTATTAAGTATGTACAGTGATTGAAAATAGTATAAAAAGCAAAGGCCAATGATATCACTTATAGCAAACACAAGAGACAACAGCATAACTCACCTTGGGATGCTAGTCAAATATGTTACAACATTCAGAAACTCTTCATCAGAAAGGTCCCCAAAGGTAGAGTGTTCTGGAAAAGTGATGATTGGCGCACCATCCCTACTACGTCCCCCTGTTTTAAAAATATTTCAGTCAGAAGATACTTGAAGGCAAAAAAAATCTGCAATAATTTGCAGTAAAACATTTTAAAACAGTTCAGAGTAAAAGTTAGTGTTAACATTCTTCAACAGACTTAATGCACAGCAAGATACAGAACCATTCAGATTAGGTGCAAAAGCAAAATACTGCAGATGCTGGAAATCGGGAAATGAAATCTGTCTGTCCTGCTGATCATTTCCATCATTTTCTCTTTCATTTCATATTTCCAGTATGTGCTGTATTCTGTTTTAGTGGAGAAGCATACAAGTTTCAGTATAGAGTGCGGATCCATTAGCTAATCTCAACAGTAACTGCATTTGATCACTATCTATTATTTGGCCTCAGCATCCCTTAACTAGAAGTGAGGAAGTTAGCCAAGGTTCCTGTGCAAATTGCTACCTTGTGGTTGCTTTCCAGGAGTGCAAGTCTGAACATCTTACATCACACAATTCTAGGTTCACTCATCAAGAATGTCAACTGGATGAAATATTGGATGACAACAGACAGCCATAAAATAGCACCAATTAGAACATTCTAACACAGGGAAGGAACAAATAGAAACCTTTAAGTCTGCAGTATACAGTTCCAGTCCTATTCATCTTTTTTTACTCATTCATGAGACATGGGCATCACTGCTGGGCCAGCATTTATTGCCCATCACTAATTGCACTCAAGATGTTGGTGGTGATGTGGATTCTCACATGCCGTTGGAGACGATTTTAACCCGATAGTTTCAGACATATCTGCCATGGGGAAAAGATTCTTGTGATCCACTCTGTCTATGCCTCTCAAAGTTATACGCCTCAATCGGATCACCCCTCAGCCTCCTCTTCTCCAAGGAAAACAAACCCAATCTCTCCTCATAATGGAGACTTTTCATCCTAGTTACTCTGAAAGAGTGGTGATGTATTTCCAAGTCAGGATGGTAAGTGACTTAGAGGGGAGCTTGCAAATGGTAGTGTTCCTATATATTTGCTGCCCTTGTCCTTCTATATGACAGTGATTGTGGGCTGGGATGAGGGAGAACTGTACTATAGCAAGATTTTTTTTAATTCATTCATGAGATGTGGGGATCTCTGGCTAGGCCACCATTTATTGTCCATGCCTAATTGCCCAGAGGGCAGTTAAGAGTCAATCATATTGCTGTGGATCTGGAGTCTCATGTAGGCCAGAGCAGGTAAGGATGGCAGTTTCTTTCCCTCAAGGACATTAGTGAACCCGATGGGTTTTTTCAACAATCAACAATGGATTCATGGTCATCGTTAGACTCCTAACTCCAGATTTTTTATTGAATTCAAGTTCCACCATGGCGGAATTTGAACCAGAGTCCCTAGAACATTACCCAGATCTCTGGATTAGCAGTCCAGTGATAATACCACTAGGCCATCGCCCCCCAATAAGTGGGTAAATTGGGTCTATATTCTCTGGGGTTTAAAAGAATGAGTTGTTATCGCATTGAAATATGCAAGATAGTGAAGGGGACAGTATCAGGAAAGGGGCTGATTATTTAGCACTGAAATGAGAAGAAATGTATTTACTTAAAACATTATGAAGCATCGGAATTTTCTAGCCAGAAGTTCTGGACGTTCCACATATATAACATTGAGATAGACAGATTTTTGGTCTCTCAGCTAGTATTAGCAATGAATGGAAAAGGGTGTTGAAACTAAAGATCAGCCATGATCATACTGAATGACAGAATAGGCTTGATGGGCTGTACAGTCTAATTTTCCTCCTTTTTTTAAATGTTCCTTTTGTTCTTATTACTGGACTTTGGGCAAACAGTGAGGCTTTCCACAAAAATTATACTAGGACTAAAAGGTTAAATTATGCAGACAGGATTTGATGTGGTGGAATTGAATAATAAGTACAGGAAGACAGGGTGGTAAAGATGACATACGGTATGCCTGCCTTCAATTAGCCGGGGTATCGAATATAGGAGCATGGAATTCTAGTTTCAACTTTATAAAATATTGGTTAGACAGCAGATGGAATACTGAGTACAGTTCTGGTCGCCACACAGTCGGAAGGACATAATTGCACTGGAGATGGTACAGAGGAGATTCACCAGGATGGTGCCTGTGATGAAAAGCCTCAGTTATGAGGAGAATCTGGGTTTCTTTTATGAGAGATGTAGATCATGAGAATCTTTTCCCCATGGCAGATATGTCTAAGACCAGAGGCAAAAGTGTAATGTGAGGAGTAAGTGATTTTCTTCATTCACAGGGCGGTAGAAATATGGAAGGCACTGCTTGAGAGGGTGACGGAGGAAGGTACTCTTGTAACATTTAAGAAATGTCTGGATAAGCACTTAAAATTCCAGGGCAAAGTAGGCTACGGACCAAATGCAGATAAATGGGATTAGTGTAGTTTGGTATTTGTCGATGGACTGAAGGGCCAGTTTCTATGCTGTATGACTTTTTGAGAATAACTAATAGAATTGTAGAATTGTGTGTCCTGATAAAAGGAGGCTGCTTAACTCTTTGAAACTTTACCAGCTCCTTCCAAGAGACAGTCAACAAAACTCATTCCCTTCCCTTACTTTCCTGTTCTTTCCATACAGCATTTTATCAAGCCCAATATAGTCCCATTGCCCTAATCTCTCCCCATAATCTTTATCAATCACAAATTAATTTCATTGTCCGTCTTCTGTCCACACCCTCTACATGCAGACCTCACTGTGCCTTGAGAAAACTGTGGGGCTAAGTGTCTGGAAACAAAGAATAAATGTTCCATGTTCATTGAATTTCCCATTGACAAAGCGGAATTGCTGATAGCTGTAGTTTGATGATGAATATGCAGTTGTGATTCCAACCAACTTAGATTAGAATTTTTGAGAATTGGTTAACATCCTCTGCTACAAGATTTTACTGCGTAGACAAAAATTCTAGTATATGGAAAATGTCAGGTTCCATTCAGAAATCTCTGCTGGAAGAATGAGAGAGAGACATGCAGCTCCTGAGGAGTCTTCTTTACTCTGATTCCTGGCATTCTGTCCAGGGATGATTGCAGATGTCCTTAGTTCTCTTAATGCCAGGTTTTCTTTTCAGTAAAAAAAAACCCTTTTTTAGCTCTTTAAATACTTTGCTTAGTTTTTTTTCTCAGTCATTTGATTTCCAGTTAAAAAGTAGATGACTTACGGTACACATGAAACTGTTGACTTTGGTTTCAAAAAAAAAATCACATGGCAAAATAGTCACTGTAGAGATTCTACGATCAATGAATTAATTCTACGGTATCACATTTGTTCTGTTGAGATAAAATTTCTCATGAGTGTGGGATCATGCCGCCCTCTTGTGGTTTCATACATCAGAATTCTTTTCTCACCAATATCTACAATTTGATGCCCTATAATGTTTAGTGCATTTTCTTATAGTTCCTTTTCCTCTGCCTGTCATAAAACACATTTCACATTGTTCCATCTTGATTGTTGATGTTCTTCTAAAGGCAACTTATATACTGTGATGTTATGAAGATATTGTGCTGAACTTTGTTGTAGACTAACAGTACTCAATGCTAATTCTGTGCAACACAGGCAGCAAAGTCTACTAACTACAAATGCAGAGTTAAAATGGACAACTGCCTATCACAACTCGAGATGCCATTTTTCTCCAAAACCAACAGTATTTCACCACCTGATACACTTTTTAAATATTTCAAATGGCATGTTGTTGATTATTTATTATCTGGTAAACAGAGTCTCTAATGGAGAAAAGTCTTAATTACTATCCAGCAATCTCATTGGTACTGGAAATTAACTTTTACCAGTGTGGTGTCTGATTCATTCAGACTTTAATAACTGTCGAGATTTTGAAAATAAAATAAAAGTTTTTTTAAAAATCTTTTCTTCTTTCTTTCATTTTTATCTTTCTCAAATTATGTTTTCCTCTTTATTATGGTCTCTGCACTTGATCTGACATTGAGTTCAACATTCTAACTGATACTCATTAATAACTCAAATCTGATTTCTTAAGGGTATTCACATTTCTTTATGCTGTTTACACAGATGCCAGTTCCCCTCTAGAGGGTGTTATACTTCTGTAATTTACAATCAGTTGCAGTATAAATCCCACAGAAGACCCTTGTTATTCATTTATTGCAGAGAGCAAACTCCAGTCCAGTGACTCACATTTTTAAACAAACAAATTTACATATGATGAACCCCACATGGCACATGGCAAAATTTAAATTACATTAATAGATCTCGAATTAAAAGCTGTTCTAATCGTGATCATGACACCAGTGCCAAGTGTTGTAAAAACTCATCTGGTTCATTGAATTTTAGGAAAACAAATTTACCATCGCCAACGGTTGTGGCCTACATGTGACTTTAGATTCACAACAATGTGGATGACCCTTAAATGCCTCTGCCTAATGACTAAGCCACCTCAGTTATATATAACAGCTACGAAGTCTGATAAAAGGAATGAAAACTGCCAGACCACCCAGCTACGTTCACTGGAAAGGATGGTGGCACTCGCAGCCCTGCCAACCCTATAAATTCGTCCTTATGAACAAATGGGACTAACAAACGTATGGCAAAATTTGGAGAACTGTCCCACAGACTTATCAGGCAATCATTTGACATAGTCATTCTCACAGAGTCATACCTTACACAATGTCCCAGACACTATCATCCCTGGTTACGTCTTCTCCCAATGAGAGGGCAAACGTACCAGAGATGGCAGAACAGTGGTATACGGCCAGACTTGTGCTAGGGGTTAGCAACATTGATGCTAGATCCAAAAAAGTTTCATGGCATCAGGTGAAATATAGGCAAGGAAACCTCCAGCTGATTGTCACCTACTGAACCCCTTCAGGCGATCTATCAGTTCTCCTTCATGTTTAACACCATTTGAAGGATGCTTGTAATCTGGGTTGGGGGAATTTAATATCCATGCCCTAGAGTGTCTTGGTAGAATCAAACTGACAAGCTGGCCCAGTCCTAAAGGATATAGCTGCTAGACTGGGCTTGCGGCAGATTGTGAGGAAGCCAACAAGAAGGAAAACATACTTAACCTCATTCTTACAAACATATGCGTAGCAGAGTCATTTGTCAATATTGCTAAGACTCATCACTTCACAGTCATTGTGGAGACCTTTCATTTTGAGGATACTCTTCAAAACATCATGTGGCACTACCACTGTACTGAATGGGATTGATTTTGAACAGACCTAGTAACTCAAGACTGGGCATCCATGAGGCACTGTGGGCCATCAGCAGCATCAAAATTATTTCAGCCACAATCTGTAACCTCATGGTCTCATATACATATATACTCCACTCTACCATTGCCATCAAGCCAGTGGATCGACCTTTGTTCAATTCAGAGTGCGGGAGGGCACACCAGGAGTAGCACAAAGTGTACCTAAAAATTAGGTATAAACAGGTCAAATGTAGGCTATGCAGTCCTGCCAAATCCAGTCAATGGCGATAGACAAACAACAAGCAGGAAGTGTGGCTTCTACAAATAACACCCCTCCTTAATAAAGAGTGGTCCCAGTACATCAGTGCAAATAAGGCTGAAGTACTAGCAAGCATCTGCACCCAAGAGTGCTGAGTGAATGATCCAATGTGGCCTCCTCCCGAGGTCCTCAGCATTGCACATGCCAGCCTTCAGCCAATCTGATTCACTCCACATGATATCAAGAAACAGCTGAAGATACCAAATACTGCAAAGGTTTTGGATCCTAGCAACATTGTGGAAATAGTCCTCAAGGCTTATATTCCAGAATTAGCCGCATTGCTAGCCAACCTATTCCAGTATGATTCTAACACTGGCATGTATCTGGCAATATGGAAAATTACACAGGAAGGCACTATCAACAGAAGACACAAAAATTCTAACTTGGCAATTAACACTTATCAGTCTATCAACAGCAAAGTAATGGAAGGTGTCATTGACAGCGCTGCAAGGAACACTTACTCAACATTAGCCGGCTCATTGGACGTTCAGTCTGGATTCCAACCACTCAGCTGTTGACCTTAATACATGCTTGATCAAATAATGGATAAAAGGAATGAACTCAAGAGGGGAAATCAGCATCACTGCCAATGACATCAGGCAGGATTTGACCAAGAGTATCCTAGCAAATTGAAGTTAATGGGAATCGGGGAGAACTGTCTGGAAGTTGAGATGCAAAACCTTAAGGGGAAAATGTGGGAAATTTTGACTGGAGAAAATAACAGGAATCTGACTAAGAGAGGACCAAATTATAACAGCCCATCTGATAAAGGTAGTGGAATAATTGGAACATCCACCACTGACACATAGTGACTGCAGCGTGTACCATCTACGAAGTGCCCTGAAACAACTCGCCAAGACTGTTTCTAAACTTGTGATCTATATCTCTACCACAAGGGCAACAGACGCATGGGAATGTCACTACCTGTAACTGCCCCTCCAAATGACACATCATCCAGACTTGTGCGACAGTATCAACATTCTTTCATTGTCACTGGGTCAAAATCAAGGAATTCCCTCTCTAATATTGTGAATGTAACTACAACATTTTGATTGTGGTGGTTCAAGAAGGCAACACATGTTCATTTTCTCGAGATTAGAGTTGGGGAGTAAATGCTGGCTTAGCCAGGAATGCTCATATCCAATGAACAAAAATGACCAAATCAACTGGTAGGCTTTGATTTATTAGACTATTTTTTGAAATGTTCCATGCTGTAACCAGTGCCTAGCTGCTATGTACATTTCTTTATCTATTACAACTTCAGTTGTTATTTGTTCACATTTAACAGCTGGAATAATTTCACCTAGAGATTGAGAATGTCTGGAACTTGTCCAGTGTTCAAAGTAACAGAAAAATCAGAAACAGGCAATCAGTCAACAGTCAATATGAATTGAGTTGTTATTTACATTACAGACCATCAATTCCACACTTTCTTTTTGTTATTCACCAAAAAAAGAGTTTTAAAAACGCCCACTGTTGTGGTATTTTCTAATGCTGAATAACCGTGCTATCAGGAGGTGACAGTTTCTGTAATATAATGTCATTCAAAGCTCTAAAAATTACAACGTTGCAACATTGCTTGTATCTACAGATGATAACATATTTTCTAAACATTTTGACAAGATGTAAACGGGGGTCTGAAACAAAGAAAATGTTTATAAATTTTGACTAATTATAAAGCACACAAAGAAAACCAAAAATTAATTTCACTCATATTCATTTTGTGCAATTAGTCTTAGCTCATACTTCAAAACTACTTTTTACAGAACTAGCAGACAAAATATTTGCACCCAGCTCCTGTGTCATCCTTTTCATGCCACTCCATCCCATTCTATTCTTTTTATGCCATATTTCTGACGCCATTTCTTTACTCCCAATCGTCCTATGCCATCCCAAACCACACACTCAAAATGCCTCTGTGATGTATTGTGCTTGCCACGTTTACAACTGTGAAAAGGTTGATTAGTTTACAAAATAGGATTTTTGATTCTTGCATTGCATTTGTCACTACTTTCAATTTTCCTTCTTTCCCCATCACTTAGAACACTGGTGAGAAAGTAATGAGAAAGTGGAATTTGCCATCTGGTAGTTCACTGACTTGAGCCCAAGTCCAATCACTTCATAATGTGAGTAGAAGTGTTGCAATTCCATTTATGAGATGTAAATAAACAATAAACAATAAATAATAAATATAGGCTCCCATAATTTCAGTTTCCAGTTTTCATAGTGGCAATTTCCCCTTTTCAACTTCAAAATAAATGTAGTACGTAAATTCCATAGATAATTGCCATTTTGAGATTGGAATGTGGGTTTATTTTGTATATAATAACTTCATTTAGAAAATATCAGGTCCCTGCAAGACACCACACATACACCAGCCAGCTCTTTTCTAATAGCAAGTTGCTTGGGGCTCCACTCCCAGCTAACTAGTTGTTGCTGATGTGGCTGACGGGTCTAGGCCCGAAACGTCAGCTTTCCTGCTCCTCTGATGCTGCTTGGCCTGCTGTGTTCACATCCAGCTCTACACCTTGTTATCTCTATGGCTGACTAGTAAATTGGTTCCAGTCTCTTATTGCTAGGGATTGTACAGGCACAATGTTCACAACTAGCCTAATTACTCTGGCAAATCAAAATTAGCTTCTAGGTGTCTGATTTAAGTACAGCATTGCTAAATCATAATCAGATCCTTTCTCTTGGAAAACTGTCGTTTATGGCATTAGGTTTTAGTGTGGTGCAGTCTGACATTTGTTTTTGTCTATTTTAGTCTACTTTTTGAAATATCAAGGAAGAGAGGTACTGGCAGGAAAAAGGAGTTAAGGCCTGGGGCAGAACGGCTGTGATCTTGTACAATGGTGGTGGTGGTGGTGGCGTGGGGTGGTGTTGGGGGTGGGGGGTGTGGATTTGGTGGGGAATTGAGGGCTGCATAGCTTACTTCTGTTCCTATTTCTAATGTTCTTAACTTCTTTTGCACATTTGCTTCATTTACAAACTGTCCCTCAATTGTAAGTAAGAAACAAATTATCTGATCATTATCTCACTGTTGTTTCTGGGACAACAAATTGCCTTTTTTGCATTCTTACACAGGTCATGAGCATCACTCACAAGATCAACATTTGTCATCTTGCCCCAACTACCATCAAAATGGCAGTGGTCAGATGCATTCTTGAACCACTGCACTGTGCTATTAGGAAGAGAATGTCAGATTTTGGTTCAGCGACAGTTGGTGTTCCTGTGTATCTGTCACCCTTCCAGCTGGTAAAGTTTGCAGGTTCGGAAAATGCTTTTGAAGGAAGTTCTGTGAGATGCTGTAGCACATCTTGATTTTTATAACTCTTCAGCTACAAAGTCGGATCCCGAAATGTTAATTCTGTTACTCACTTCACAGATGCTGCCAGACCTGCTGAGTTTCTCCAGCACTTTCTGTTTTTATTACAATGTATTCACTATTTTTTTCAGCTAGACACAACATAAATATATTACTCTACGAAGTTGATCATTAGACATGAAGTCAAGCAGATCATGTCTTTAGCTGACTGCTGACACAATAACCTTGAAAGATTTTAGTTCAGAATTTCTATCACGTTCCAGTCAACACAAACAACAACTAAAGAAGAAAATACTGTTAATTTCCCACCTGATAAAATAGCAAACTGTTTCTGTAGCTGTTCAACAATATCAACCGCAAGCAGGGGTCTTATTTCTTGTTGCATGATTTCATCTGTGGAGACAATAAGTGTAAGCCAGTGAGTCAAGTCTAGGATCAAAACAAAGTTACATTGTAAAGTAAGAGAACTATTCAGGAATTAAAAACGATAATGATTTCCCAAGACATTACTCATGTTTCAGTCATAAGACTATCTTGTTACTCAAAAGTATCATGACATTTTGGAAAAATCTCCACTCTGCCTACAGTTCACATACTTCATATATTCAGTACTGCTTCAAAGCTAAATAAACACAATTTAAGAATGTATGAAGCAAATCAATACCGAAAATTAGGCTGTTGTTCTTCGCTTAAAAACATACATTGAATTTTCTCTCCATCAGATTGTAATAAATGTTTTGATTAGCAGATAAAGCACTTTTCATAACATGACTACTAAAATCTATCTCTCCCTCTTCCAATGGCTTCAGTTGTGTTCAAATTAAACATAAATCTTTAGCCATAAACATATACTATTTATGGAATTATTTTTCATGGCAATGAAATAACTCATTTTGAAGTAGGAAAGAACTATAAAACATAAATATAACTTGGCATGACTTCAGCAGGTCTTATTAAACATAAAAATAGATGATTATATCCATCCATGCAACAGAATAAATTCAGCAATTGTAGGTTCCTCTTATGAGTAATTATATATACTACAACAAGATACTACTTCTGTTAAAATTGCATTTGTTCAGATGTTACTTCAAACTGTGTGGGGAATCTAAATAATTGCCTTAATGGCTATTGTTCAGACCAACAGGATGATTATTATATGCAGAGCATCACAGCGGCTAGAATGTAGCACCATGTGATTTAAACTGCAGCAACATTCAGTTTTAGATTAGTGAATACTGCAGCATAATAATGTAACTTCGTACAACATGGACTGCAAAGCTGCCATGCTACATGTAACTCAAACTGACAAATTATTAAAATGCTGCAGATTTAGGCATATGGTTGCCCAAGAAAATTGTGATCAGTTTTATTTTAAAACAGAAATTAGAAAGTGAAAACAGTGAATAGAAAAATTGAGTAATTGAAAAACAAAGAATGTGTATTCACTGCTTATGCCTGCCAGTTACCACCAAACAGTGTAACACAGTAATTAAATAATATTCAACTTCACAGTTGTGCAAATAATATGGGATGATTTATGCTCCAAATGGTACTGACATATTAATCAGAAAAGAAATAGAATAATTTATTTTTCTGGCATTAGTTGTTTTCCACTAAAATAGTGGAAAACAAGACATCCAAATTCAAATGGAATGAAGAAATGACCAGGATGTTCCCTTCCCACGAGTTGGTGGGAAGGTGACAAGAAGGGCAAATGATCAGATGGCTTATCACACCACCACCACCTCAGAAATTAAGTTCTAGTCAGGAAGACCAATTGACACCAATTATGGACCATATGTTGTCAACTGATGATCATGTAATAGCCATCTTAGGGCACATAATAAGGGCTCATGTAGTGCAGTGGTAGTGTCCCTAACACTGGGCCAAGAAAGCCAGGTTTCAAGTCCCATCTACTTCAGGAGGATGCCATTACATCTCTGAATAGGTTCATTAAAACATCATTTTTAAGACCACCTAATAATAACCTTATCC